CTAGAGTCCCAGTAAATTCCCATAAGCATTTTAACTGTTACTTTGTGTAAAGTTGCTAATAGAAGTGTTTTGAATCGCAGACGTCGAGATCGAGCGCACAGAGAAATAAAGAATATTTTCTACAAGGTTATCCAGAAACGTCGGAAGTCTGAGGAAAAGGACGATGACATGCTCCAGACTCTACTCGATGCTTCATACAAGTAAGCAAAGGGTTCAAAGGCTTGTCATGTATAGATATTTTACTTTAGCTTTGAGCTCTCCAGTTAAAACTAGCCACCAAAAAATAAGAAATATTCCCTCATGTTCTGAATTGGTTTTGCTGCCAGCAATTGGTCCCAGCTGTATGCTTAAGAAGAGCTTGAAAACTTTACTTGTAAATGGTTATGTAGATTTCTGAGATGCTCACTGGTGGTCATGAGGTCGCTGACTGGTCAGTAAACACTTTCTTCAAGGCTCCTAGAGAGTCCTTCTCCCTCTGCTCTCCCTTCTCCCTGCCCCTAGATCTTCTGCTGCCTCATTTAGAGTAGGCAACAAAAGAGGAGAAAAAGTACATTAAAAGAATTTGTAACTGCTACTGTAACTGGAAACCTGATCAAATGAAGCCCTAACGTAACACCCTTCAACCTAGGGATGGCCGTCCGCTGACAGATGATGAAATTGCTGGAATGCTTATCGGGTTGCTCCTGGCAGGGCAGCACACGTCCTCCACCACCAGTGCCTGGCTTGGCTTCTTCATAGCCAGAGACAAATCGATACAAGAACAGTGCTATGCAGAGCAGAAAGCAGTTTGTGGGGATGACTTGCCACCGTTAACTTATGACCAGGTTTGTACGTTACATTAATGCTGCTGGGTGTTCTTTATACTTTTAGATGCTTGTTAAAAAAAGGCAAACAAAAAAACCCCAACAGAAACCGTGAAATACAGTCATATGCTTTGTGCTAGAACAATAATCTGTCACAGTCACTTGTGACAACACTGTTTGCCAGTGCATCTCCTCTGTCTCCTCTCCAAGTAAATTTTCACCTTGCTACTGTTTTTTTAATGATGTTGATTAAGGACATTACAGTTCCTACAATTTCTATTTAAGAAATGATAGTTCTGTAGAGGAGGAAGATCCTGATAGTCCCACTGAGGAAAGGGATGCAGTGTGACCTTGTTCCTTAATTAGGGATCAGAAAACACTCGTGAGACAGATTAGTAAGAAACTAGCCGTAATTGATTGCACTGGTCAGAGATTTTTTTCCTTCTTAATTGGATCAAGTTAAAAGAAAAAAGACAGTATCAGGGTAGCTAACGAAGTACATGTAGAAATGAGCTGATTACTCTTTGATATTTTTTTTTTTTAGTGTTTTAAAATGGTATAAAATACAATTTTGTTTGTGTTGAATAAACTTGGCTCTATTTGGTGCTTCATTTTCTCTATATTTTCAGCTCAAGGATCTCAGTCTGCTGGATCGCTGTCTAAAAGAAACTTTAAGGCTTAGACCTCCTATAATGACCATGATGAGAATGGCCAAAACTCCCCAGGTGAGCGTGCTTGTTGGCACTCACTTCACCTCAGTAGAATAGGGCTGGAAAGGCACAGGGGGAAAAGCATGAGTGAGCAGTGTTTGCTGGCAGGGATGAAAGCTGATGGTGTCCTGGGTTGTATCAGTGGGAACGTAGCCAGTGTTAATTGAGGAAAGCAATTAGTGCCTTGGACTTGATAGTTGTTACCTTCATCTGGAATTACTTGTGTCCTGTTTTGGACCCCTCCGTCCCGCAGCAATTAAGATGTCAGTGAAGTAAAGCAAGGGGAGTGCAGCCACGATGGTATAGGATTGCAGCACTTCTCCCGTGAGGAGAGGCTGAGGGAACGGGGTTTATTGACCCTGGAGAAGGGAGGGCTCTGAGGGGAGCCAGTAACAGCCACCTGCAGTCTTATTCAGCAAAACTGACCCTTTCTTTTAGCCTTTTAGTCAGTCTCACTTGAGTTCCTAGTTTGGTGCTACCATTTAAAGATTTTGTTTGTTTCCCAGGTATTTTTAATGGCTATCTGGGAAAAATTTGTCTTGTGCTTAATACAAAACAAGCTAGGTAAATCTGAAAGAAAACTTGCTGTTTGTACAAATAAGATATAAAATCAAGTAATTTTTTAAAAGAATATCACTCGCATGACAAATGCTTTCAACACATTTTAAACTTTTTTTTAAAAAGTCTTCCTGTAGAATTGCCAGCCTTGTTAAAGCAGCTGAAAGTTTCCTGCAGCTCCTTGAACATTGTGCCCTATACAGTTAAAACTATAAAGTATTAGGCTGCATTCATTTTAATTGAGCTTAGTCAGAATCTCTTTTGAAATTCAAGCCTCATGATACAGCACTTCAGGTAACACTGAAAAAAGAGAAACGGAGAAATTTTATGATGTTTTGTGGGTTTTTGTCTCTTGTCTTGTAGACTGTTGCTGGATATAATATACCCCCTGGCCATCAGGTCTGTGTATCTCCCACTGTTAACCACAGACTCAGGGACTCCTGGGAAGATGCTCTGGACTTCAAGCCTGACCGGTATCTCCAAGACAACCCAGCAGCTGGGGAGAAATTTGCGTATGTTCCGTTTGGCGCTGGTGAGTAAGAAAAGGCAGCGCCTTCCCCAGTGGCTTATACCGGTTGTCTTGTACAGCACCTCTCCACGCTGTAGCATCTCAGGATGTTGTTTTTTCTTTCTATGGCTGCCTGAAAGTTTTCTTACTGTGAAAGTGCTGCTAAGAGACAGTTTTGCATTAGTAATAGCTGTATGTATGTATCATACAGAGTAGCACTCAAAGCAGGAATCTTCAGATTAGCATGTGTGGTATTTGACTCGTGTCTTTTCAAGTCAAGGTAAAAACGTGGTACTACAAAGTCAGTTTAAGGCAGGGCAAAAATCTGCAGAGTCATAGCTGCCCAAATGGTTTGCAAGTATCAGCACAACAGGGTTAGAGTTTTGGTGTCTTTTCTCAGTGTTGCAAATGCCTCTTTGGTGACAGATAACGCTTTTGGGCGAGGCCAGAGCAACGCAGTCTCATTCAAAGGACTGGGTCTGCTGTGTGCAGCAACAGTGCATAAACACAGGGCTTCGATGGAGTTACAGAGCCGTGTACGTGCAGCATTGGAGCCTCACATTGAGAAAGGAAAGAAGCAATTACTGTCTGCATAAAACTTTTTAAAGTTGGCTTGTTGTCATAGGTGATGTAATAACTAAGTATTCTAACTGCCTTTTCATGGCTTTCCTTCTAGGCCGTCATCGCTGCATTGGAGAAAACTTTGCTTATGTTCAGATTAAGACTATTTGGTCTACTTTGCTTCGTTTGTATGAATTTGATCTCATCAACGACTATTTTCCAACTATAAATTATACAACAATGATACACACACCTAATAACCCCGTTATCAGATATAAGAGGAGGTCACTGTAAAGTCTGGACCTAAAAACTTCCTTAAGTTAGAATCATAGAAAGTTGTGCGAACTAACAGACTTTTGAATAAAACACTGACAAAATGAGTGGCAAATGGAAACTGTTGCATTTGCTGTTAGGAAAGCAACAATTGTCTACCAAATGCAAAGTCTTTGCATCTATTTTGTTTGCCCACACCATTTAATGCTGCCATGTTCTACAACTTTCTCATTGCATTTTTAAAGAAAGAGCGTATTTTCTATGGGTCTAACACTTTTAAGGTGCATGCAAATTCTTTAAGGGGAAGAAAAAGTAATTTCTATAGATGGAACTCTGTGCTTTTGAAAAAATAACTGAAGATTACTTTTCCTCAGATAACAAGGGGTACGACTGCGTGCCTTACCTCCGCGTCCAATTACAGTCAATCCATCAGGAAACAGGCGCTGAGGGGGAAGGTACTTGGCGCTGCCTGACCTCTGAGGTGTGCGATTCTGTTCCAAGCGCACTAGCTGTGGTCCTGGCTGACTCTTGGAAGTGCCCACGTACTTATTTAAAAAAAATGTTACTGTACAGCTGAGTAGTAGGCAGACCACAAAATGTTTACAGAGAAGTCAAAACAATTTGAATGGCTAAATTGAAGCAGTTGTAAAACGCTTAGATTCAGAAAGCGACAAATAATTTTCTTAAAAATTGATCCCTGATAGCTTGATGTAAGTGTGAAAGTAACAATATGGTGAGACAAACATTAATGTTGTAAATAACATGTTCGTGTATAAAATGGTTGCAAATTAAGTGAACTAGGGGAATGTTGTCCCCCTTTGTACTGACTCGTGCAGGATTGTTAAATGGTGTTTGGTTCGAGTGGTGATAATAAATGGTCATGAGCTCTGGCTCACAGGAACTTTGAATTAAATTTATAAACAAACCTCTTGTGGAAGTTTTCTGTGCTCAACCCTGTAAATTCTGAAAAGATTTTCTACATAAATCTGTAACACACTCCTTTTTTTCCTGTAAGTATGAAGTCAGTCGTGCAAAGAGCTTCCCCCCTTCATCGGTGCTTATGGAGCAAGGGCTTTGCCCCCTCTGTCCTGTTCTATCCTGGGGTGTAACTGTTACAGAACCTCCCGTCTGTGTCGGTCACAGCAGCTGAGGGAGCGCAGTGTCTTCCCTTCCAGCCCCGTCAGCTGTGACCAGGCTCTGCACAAACCAAGCTTGTGCCTGTCCTCTCTTCTCAGTAGCAGTGGCATTTTGCAATCTGTAAAAAGTAAAGCTGTGGCCACCACGGGTAGGAGCAACCTTTTCCGTGTGAATGAGGGAGCAGTTCTAGAACACAGTTAAAAGCATGAAGTCATCTTTATTTCAGTACTTTGACAAAATACCCATAAAATTCAAAACTTCTACCATTACAAAAATAGGTCTCTACAAGTGATATTCTGTCTGCGCTGCCAGTAGCAAATAGTACGAGTCGTGTAACTTCAGTAGCCTTGCCAGAAAAAGTGCAAGTAAACTCTGCTGAATGTAGCTCAATTTCATTAATGCACAAGTTTCATCTTCGCACCCTTTTGATAAATACACACTTCATAAGTTAATCATTTAAATTAGGCATTCCACAAATATACATGTAATTTAATGATGGGGGTTTTTTTTGGTTTTGTTTTTTTCTTCTTTTTTTTCCATGAACACGAAGCGCCTATATACATAGATCCCAGTCTGCGTGGGTGTGCAGGATGGAACTGTATACAACTGTGTAGCTGTGTTCATGTTGGTCCCACAATATACACATTATACAAAAGCACGGGAAGAGCACAGATTTACAGAAGGCAATCCACTAACATCACTGCCAGTGATGGAGGTGTCGAAAGGGTATTATCTTCTCATACCCACGTGCAGCTGAGTGTATGAAGTCGAACCTGTAAGATGGAGAAAGATTTTCACCAAGATTACGTGCAATAGGTAGATGAGAGTTCACCAGTGACCTGTTATTCAGCTGAGTAAGCGTGAAAGAGTTTACACGGGAAATCTTTTCAGGACAGAACTTCCTCAAATGATGGATTTTATGCTGAAGTAAGACTTGAACACAGTAACTACAAAAATCCTCCCCACATCAAGATTGATAAATTAAGTCCCATTGATCTGACAATTTTCTTAGTGTATTCCTTTTACGGCACAAAACTTACCATCACCTATGGGACAGAAAGGCTGTAACTTCTGTAACCAAAGTGTAGGAGAAGAAATGCCCCTTGTGCTCCCACACCCCAATCTTTCGGGTACATTTTTCTCCACCTAGCTTAAAATCTTATTAAGACACCAACTGAATCCTCACTGTGCGTTTATGAGATCAGGCAAAGTTGAAGTGTTACCAATAAACTCAGAACATGCTTGTATGTCTCCCTGCAAATAATTTTACAATTTTCTTTCTAATGAGCTTTTCACTACAGCTCAGAATAGCCTCTTGTTTAAGGCTGAAGATGCCTGAAATCAAAGACATTTGTTAGGTGTCTCAGAGAGCCAGCACACGCTTTCTCACACATTGGAACGGGCTGCCCAGGGAGGTGGTCGAGTCCCCATCCCTGGAGGTATTTAAAAGCTGGGTAGATGAGGTGCTTAGGGACATGGTTTAGTGGTGGGATGGCAGGGTTAGGTTAACGGTTGGACGTAATGATCTTAAAGATCTTTTCCAACCTAAACGATTCTATGATTCTAACTTGGAACCGTGCCCTGGGCTACCCTGGGGTCATGGGGCCGACTGCCTGAGCCCTTACCCGACTGCACGCTGCCGAGTCGCCTTTGTAGTGCCTCCAGCCGATTGATGTAATCTGTTAAAGCTCTTTCAGGATCATAGTTCTGCAGCTGAGAACAGGCGAAAGAGACCGGGTTTAACTCCATGTGCGTACCGTGGAACCTAGGGGCAGAAGAACACAGATGTTTCTAAAAAGCAAAATTTCAAATAAAACAAAAGTATCAGCAGACACAGCAAAATAGCAGGGATAGGGATACCTTACTGACTGCAGGCCCTTAGCGTACCCTTGTGGTAGCCAGCACATCCATACCCGTTTAACCTCCCTGCCATTTACTGCCCAGGCCATCAGACTGCCTCGCCCAGAGAAACCGCTTTTCCCAGTTGCCTCGTCTTTCTACTGCACCTGATCTGTTGCTGCATTTCTTTGGGACAGAGACTGACCAGTAAATTCCTACTGAGACGGCAGCAGAAGCCATGGTAGATTCAAGTTTGCTTTTCTATTAAGAAGGTTGTGTGAACAAGGACACGGCCATCTGTACAGGATTCTGTCTCTCTGACTCTCTATAAGTAAAAGCAAAAAGTGGCCAAAATAGATTAACTTTTTTTCCCTATGTAAACTGTTACACTTGCCATAAACTAAGATTACAAATGTTGAGGTAGTTTATATAAAAATAAAGATCCCAAATGGCAAGAATCTTGTACTCAGTAAAGCTCAGAGTCCATAACTCCACATTAAGTAAGTCATCAAAGGCTGATGGCACTCCTAAAAACCTTGCCTTTGGTGAAAAAATACCTGGTTTCACTGGCATCTGCTTCACCGGCATCGCTGGCATCACAGCTTAGTACAGCCATCCAAAAGGGTTTCATTAACAACAAGCAGCAGAGCCACCAAGCAGCTTCCACCCACGCTCTGGCTGGGAGGCCATGGTGATCCCTCCCAGCCACAGTAACCAGGTGACCCACCCCAGCCACAGCAAGCTGCCCTTCTTCTCCCTGCCCTGCTTTTCCCTTCCCCTTCTCTCCCTTCCCTTCCGCACACCCAGCTGCCAGCCGGAAAGGCGGACAGGCAGCAGAGGTCTGCTTGGTCACAAAGCCTAGACCCTGCAGAGGCAGGTCACCAGAGCAACACCCAGCCATCTACCACTGGCCCCAAGAACACGACATAGACAGCAGAAGTCTGCAAGGTTTGGTCTTGGTGAGGCGATGAGTAAAACGCACCCTGAAGGCCCGAGATGTAATTTGTTATGTATCCTTACAAAAGAAGTAAAAAATCTTACGGCATCAAAGATTACAAACCTTAGCAGTAAGCACTGATGCATTCATTTAGTTAAACAGTGTTCTGACAGAGAGCAATGAGCTAAAATAAAACGTACTTATGTTGAAAGTTTACAGGAGATCTAGGAGACTCCATGTCTGACCTGGATCTATAGGAATGCCTTTGTTCTCCATAAAGATCCATGCCACCAGAGAATGAATCAGGCCGTAATTCATTACCTAAAAATATAAAAAGCAATGTCTTGAACACTCAAACATTTTGCACTTTACTGGGAATCTCAAATGTGAGTTTTCTGTTTGCGTATCACAAAAATGGTGTTTAACAAATGTAGATCACTTTCAGACTGCTTCAGAGAAAACCAGAGGTGAAATTCTGGCCTCACTGATGTCAATGAGAAAACTCTCATGGGCTGAGCAGGACAGGGTTTTAGTGCAGACCTAGACAGCCAGGAATTAATAAAAAAGCTTCTGATTCTCCTTAGGCTCCCACCAAAAAGCAAACAGAAAACCAGATTTCCCAAGCTTTAAGCTATAACAAAAGAATGGGCAGGCTTTTGTTCAGGAAAGGACCAGGGAGGGCTGGTCAGTAGGCTCTGTTGCCACTGTGGGGGACCTGTAGTTGCTACGATTCCTCTATCCGTCCCTGTCCTCAGCATCCCCTCTCAGAGCTGGGGGCGCAGGTTTCTCAAGAAACCCGATGACGCAGCTAAAATTGTTTATACAAACACACTCTGTGAAACCCTGCCATATTTTTTTAAATCCCACCCACGATGGAGCAAAACAAGACTGAAGACAAAGCAAACAGATTAGTGTCTGCTGAGCATGGAAACTCTCAGAGCCTGAGAAACAGGTTAATCCAAGCAACTATAGGAAGTGGGAGAGGCACCCCATTCATTCCACTTGAGGAAAATACAAATTAAAACCCATCTCCATTCAGCAGAGGTGTCACTTGCAAATACCACTTTTTCATTACTGGACTACGATTTACCTGTGTTCTGGCTAAAGACATCCCTATTGACACTTAGTATACCAGAACCCGTAACTCTGTGCCATCGACGAACCAGGAACTTCATTCTGCATTTCAAATAAAAAAAAAAAAATGCTTCAGGATAAATGAAATAGACTGCTAAAAATAATTTGCTTGTTGTGTTCTAGAAGGCATAAGAATTTATGCCTACACAGTATCTACTACATTCATGACTACCAAACATGTATAATTTAAACAGGATGGAACATGAGAAGTTCTATATTCCACTAGAGAGCTAGAAAAGTACATAATAAACTGTTCAAAATCTAACTTCCCCCAGCTTACCTTGAAATTGCGATGGACACTCTGACTGCAGAGCGAAATCTTGTAAAACCCTTTGAATGATGTGTGATGATTTCGAGGTCTGTGTAGGAAGGCTGTCCACCCATTCGTGCAATGAGGGCCAACGTGGCTTCCTCACACTCCTGGAATCCGCCTAGTAACAGCAGCAAATATTTTTTCTGATATATGAGAGCTTTCCGAAAGCTCTCTGCTCGTAGGTATTTGCCATAAATTCTCTACAATAAGGAAAAAAAAAAAAGGCCCCATAAGCTCTGAGAATTATTACAGTTCTAAGACTGTCAATGTCATTACTCCTACAGCATTTCTGTGATCATTCATTTCTTGCTATCATGGAGAAGACTGCACTACTGCTCACACTTGTTGAATGTAGCTTCATAATTTGACCATTACCCGAGCAGCAAGAAATAGAGCACCCACAAAAGGACAACATAGGTGCTTACATGTCATTCTTGGGGAAAAAAAACTAAGAGTCAAGTATCTGAGGATGAAAGTTTTAAAACTGAATTAATATCTATTTACTTAGAAGAAGCAGAGTGAACACAATGAAAAATAGGCCCAAGTCAAAATGAAAAAAGCAGCTGTAGTAAGTACGTGGGCAAGAAAGTCTTCCTACCCGTAAAACAGCATTTTCAGAATCTGATCCCAGTTCTCTGAGGAAAGCTTCGCTCCTGAGCTCTGCTCTCAGCTTGGAGAGCTCCGCATTGGCTTGTTTCAAAGATTTCTGCAGTGACAGCTTTTCTCTGTTCCACGTTTCCTTCTCGGAGGCAACAAGAGTATCGATATTAACGCCAACATCTGATGAGTGTCTAGAAGACTGAAGACGAAAGAAACTGAATTTAAACCACAAAGTTTGGAAAAGCTTGAGCTGTCATTTCTAGACATTGGTTTGGTGGAGAGCTCATAAAATTAATGAGAGAAAAATTACCCACAGATTGTATTTGAGGCCACCCTTTGCATCCTAACACCTCAGAAGCAGTGATTTTAGGAGCCTGATCAGTCTGCTATAAAATACAGCTTCTCCAAAAAAAATCCCCTTCATTGGATCATACTAGCTTCATGATCTTGAAGCTATCTGGATCTATTTGCTACTCATCAGGGTGATGAGACACAGATCAAAAAGAGAAGCACATGGAATTTAAAAGAAAAGAGCAGTTCACAAAAAGAAGCTGGGTAAAATCACAAAGTTTACAGTAAACAGAGTGAGTTGAGATATACTGCCCACAGGACAAGAATAACTCACACCCATTTACTTTGCAGAGGGAAGCCAAGACAGACAGACAGCTTGATCACTCCCACTCAGGTGACCAGGACAAAGAACGACGCTTTTATGCCTACAGACACATCACTATATCCGCACCACTAATGACATACATAGTCTCCAGAAGGTTGTCTGTGCTGGTATCTTCTCAGTTCTTCCTCCAGTTTCATAACAGCGTTCCTCAAATTATTCTTTTCTTCACTCAGTCTGCTGACAAAGCCCGTCAGCTCAGCATTCTGTCTCAGCAGCCTCTCAGTCAACGAGCTAGATGGAGTCCCTGGGAGTAGCACGAGCTTCAGCTAGAAGGAAGACAGAAAACCAAACAAAACTGGTATCAGATCCCAGTTGCCAACTTGAAAATTCAAGTTACTGCCAGTTATTTAACTGGCTTACAGTGATAAACTTTTGTAGATAATGACAATAACTTTGTAATAACCTACATAAAGAAAATGTAAGTGTACGTGTGAACTATAGATTAATGTGACCTTCCCTTCTATGCTTATCCTGTATATCACAGCAGAATATTTTCACGCAAGCTCAATTGTGCCAGCTATAACAATTGGCAAAGCTTTTCTACTGTGTTTAGATTTATCTAACTTAGAGGGAAAAAAAAAGCCCCAAAGCTTTTTTCAAGTCATGCTGAAAACACTTTCTTAAAATGCAGGTAAGGACCCAGCCAAGCTCAGTTAAAATCAAATATTGCTGAAATCTTTGTAACAGATTACCTCATTTCATTTTTTACACAAGTGCTCACTACTCAATCTTCAACTGCCTTTCCTTTGCTAAATATGGGGCAGTTTAAGTAAATGTGTTGTATAAACACAATACAGTAAATATTAAATGTTGATTTTAATATCAGGAAGTACTGAGCAAAGTTTCCTCAGTTACAGAAGTACCGCTGAAAGGAAAATACCTTTTCTTAAAGAAAAAGCCATGAGACTCAAAAATCTATAATTAAACTGGAAAAGCTTTAATTTGAAAGCTGAAGATTCACTTTTAAGGTAAGTAAAATTGAAAAAATAAAAGGAAAGGGGTTTTTACACTTCACCAACTCCAATTCAGAACACTCACTGGAGCAGATTTTCCTCTATAAAGTACAGACCTGGGTAAGTACAGACTTAACAACTCCTTGCTGGTTTCCGCTCCCAGCTCGTCACCCAAACTCTCCCACCAAAGTTACAACACTGCACTCTCACCTCTTCCAGGTAGGACAATCCAGACAGTTTTTGCAGCTCAGAAATAACTTCTTCAATAGCATTTTGTATTGCAAGGAAATCTTGATCATCTGCTGTTTCAAACTGTAATCTGAAACAAAAGCGACAGTTTCAACAGCAGGTACAGTCTGACACCATGAGACAGACTGATGGGACTTTCCGTGGATCCACACACACCGGGACTTCAGCAAGTCACTTCAGCATAGTTACTGGAGACATGGCAATGTCCACTAATTTTGAGAAAAGATGTTCTACGTGAAGCGCATTTTAAAATGTGGTTCTTGCTTTCCACAAATTCGTGGAATTGGTGTAAGCAAAATCTTAGGGCATTTCAAGATACAATGCATCCTGTTTTGCCCCAATGTTTCAGAATGAATGTTTAATATTAAATCACCATCACAGAAAAATAAAAACAGATTCAAACTTCCCATGGACCTGGTACCATGCTGGTTTTTTTTTTTCTTACGGAGACAGCAACCCAAGAAAATAAGAATCAAGATCAGTTTTACTTGACCATAAAATAGTAATTTTTTCTGGGGGACGCAAAGGGCATGATCCATAACAATAATCCCTATATTTGTCCCCTTATACAGTGAATTATTTCATAACTAAATTGTTTTAAAATTATCTACCTACACCCTACCCAAATAAACCTTACTAGTTTTCAGAGACAAAAAGACAATTTTGCTTATAAATTTTGCAATTTTGCAACTTATAAAGGACCATATTAAACATGTACGATCTAGAGCAGCACTTGATACTCTGTGATCCTGTCTCACATCAGCATATCTCAAGCAATGGCATATACTATAAAACTAGAACCACTCCAAAATCAGTTGGGCCTGCAGTCTGTAAATTACGATTAAAGCCCAGTATGTTAGCTTGCTGGTTGCTATTAACAAAACCAAGTAGCTGAAGACTGGTCTAACCTGCTAGCAGCTTTCCGAGCCAACTGCTTCAGCTTTGGAGATGCGTTTTGCAGCTTTTGTCTGACATTTTCCAGAATTTCAGTAGCAGCAGAGAGATCTCCTCCTCCCGTCAGCGTGGGGTAGGTTGATTCGTTTGTCTCGGCTCCTTCCATTTTTTGCTGGAGAACCCAATTCCTTGTTCTGTCATTGGGTGTATCCCAGGTAGTCTGTACATAAATACGTATTTTAATACATATATATAGAATGCGTGTGGTCCAGTGCTTTAAAATAGAAACATTTGATTCTGAAACACACCCAGAAATTGAAGAACAAACAATTCTGACACAGAAAGGAGTTTAGCGTGACTACACTACTGTTGCAGCATATCACCAGACTATGATTTGTGAATGGTATAGTGTGAAGCCTCTCCTGACTAAGATCTAGCAACCATACAGCTACAGCGTGAATCCATTCAACAAACTCAGCCAGCAGGAAGCCACCAAGCCTTTCTGTTTCTTCCACCAGCAGCTCCTTAACCATTTGTGCATGGAATTTGGGCAACTGTGTCCACGTGTTTTGGTGACCAATTTGTAGTCAAGAGAAACAGGACTGGAAAAGCCCACCATGGTCATGGAGGTCAGTCCGCAGTCTCAGGCAACCATGCCACTGATGCTGTTGCAAGTGAAGCCATGCACTGAACATGTGCTCCTCGCCCTCACTAACACCCCCTGCCCCCCTCGCCCCAGCACTGGCCATGGAAAAACTGCTAGCCCTCCCAAGGAAACCCGAGTCTACAGCTGTGCCTTTGGATATTTGTGGTACCAATGAAAAAAAGTAGGGCATTGTAAATGCCCTGCATTCCATTGCAAAATGGAAGCAGCAGGAGATTCATTATTTGAAACTCCAGGCAGATCCTGGAAAGCAGATCACACTGTCTGCTGCTGAGGAGGGGGAAAGGCCCCAACAGCCACTGCCCACCTGATCCAAGGGAAGACTCTTCGTTGACTACAGTGCTGGCAGTTACCTCTGAGCAGAAAAGCAAGGTGCAAACTAGCGTGGCAGGAAGGCTGATGGTATCACAGTGTGCTGGTTTTGGCTGGGATAGAGTTCATTTTCTTCATAGTAGCTGGTATGGGGCTGTGTTTTGGATCTGTGCTGAGAACAGTGTTGACAACACAGGGATGTTTTCGTTACTGCTGAGCAGGGCTCACACAGAGCCAAGGCCTTTTCTGCCTCAGCCCCCCCCACCAGCGAGCAGCCGGGGG